TTTTTACCTCCTTCCCTTGTGATAAGGATGACAAACTGAACAATCTAGATCGTAGTAGACTATATAGGGACAATTTGATAGCTTACTCCCGCAAATAGTGTATTCAATTTCTAAAGAAACAACTGGTGAGTTAGACATAATGGGGGTAGAGTCAACCATCCTAAATGAATAAAGGAGCCCCTAGTAAACTTAAACAATAAGTTGGAAGAGGTGTTGCTTCTTAGAGAGAGAAGTTGGCAGAAAAAAATGAAGCTTAAGTGGGCCAAGGAAGGGGAAGACGATACTAGATTGTTCCATGGAGTTGTGAGTGGATGTAGAAGGAGAAATGCTTACAAAAGAAATTGAGCTTGGCTTGGGGGGGTAGAAAGGAGAGAAGAAAATAAAGCTAGGGAGATTACTCAATATTACAGGAGCTTGTATATTGAAGAAGAAGCGTCTTGTCCATTTATTGAAGTTATTGATTGATACCCCATTCAGAGAGAAACAAAGGAATGGATGGAGAGACCCTTTGAATTGGAGGAAATGAGGATGGGTTTTTTAGGGGTATTTGGGACATATAGAATGATAAAGCTCTTGGACTAGATGGATTTGCAATTGAGTTTTTAAAGCTATGTTCAGATATTGTAAAAACCAACTTAATCAAAGTGTTTGACCAGTTTATTTGAATAGATCCATTTGTAAAAACATGAACTCCACCTTCATTACCCTTGTTCCACAAAAGGATAAGTTTTCAAAGGTTTTAGATTATCATCCAATTAGCTTAGTGATTAGTGTATATAAAATTATTTCTAAAGTTCCCTCCTTTTGACTAAGTGAAGTTTTAGACTACACCATCTAGACTTAACCAGAGTGCCTCAACGGGAGGTAGACAAATCCTTGATGCATTACTATTGCCCAATAAGGTGGTGGAGTATACTCGTACTTCAAGAGATCGTCTAGTTTTGAACTTAGATTTTAAGAAGGCCTATGGTCGGGTCAATTGGGGCTATCTAGATTGAGGGATGGAGCAAATCGATTTGATCATAGGTGGAGAAGATGAATTCGAGTATGTTTATCTCATGTTCTCTCATAGTGATTGTCAATGAGAAACCCGAGATTGGTTTAGAGCCTCAACCGGAGTTAGGCAAGGTGATTCTCTCTGACATTTTCTCTTTTCCTTGGCAATTAATATATCGAGTAGAATGTTGACTAGTGTAATAGAGACCAGCTTAGTGAAGGGATTAGGAGTGGGCATATAGAATGTGGAGGTATGTTATCTACAAGTTGCGGATGACGTGATTTTGTTCTTAGAATATGACAATAGGTCCATATCTAACATATTTGCTCTCATTCATGTGCTTGAGCATATCTCAGGATTGAAAATCAATATGGGAAAAAGTGGATTTGTTAGAGCAATGTGGGAGATGACATGGTAATCATATAGTAGAATCAGTAAGTTGTACAAAGCTATCATGACCATTACATGTCTAGTAGTTCCATTAGATTGCAATCCTAAGAGTAGGATTGTGGATAAAATGAGAAGATTCGTTTTGATTGGAGCGGGCGAGAAGCATAGAGATCATTTAGTTCGTTGAGAGGTTTGTTATCAATCAAAATGTTTAGATGGGTGAGCATTGGGAATCTCAGATCGAAGAATTTATCCCTATTAACAAAAGGACTATGATGCTTTCCCTTGAACTAAAATCTCTATGGTACTGGATGATAAATAGTATCCATGGAACTGAAAGAGATGTTTGGGATGTCTTTGCAAGAAGATACACAAGTCACCGAAGTCCTTGGAAATCCATTTCCTAAATCCACCCTTTGCTTATCCCGTTCAACTGCCTACATGTGGGAATGGAACTAGAGTTTTGTTTTGGAAAGATGCGTTATTGAGGGATCAACTGCTTGCCATAAAGTTCCCTAGGCTATACCGTTGTATACCACACACACTGCCCATGTCTCTTAGCTTCATTGTTAATGCTGAGGAAAGATTATCTTGGAACTTCACTTTAATCATAACCTATTTGATAGGGAGACTTTTGATTCTTTGACCTCAATAACCACGTTACAACCAATACATATTACTTCCTGACTAGCTAAATGGTCATAGACTCTTGAACCTTTTGGTTTATTTACATGTATGTCTTTCTTCACTTACCTCATTAATAACTCTGGTGTTAGACAATTTCATGTTGTCAAGATATTTTGGAAAGCTATGGTTTTTTCAAAGGTAAAGGTATTTCATGGACTGCTATGAATCGAAGGCTTAATAACAAAGACTCACTTCAAATCAGTTGCTTTCATGTGCTTTGTCTCTTGAGGTTTGTGTTTTTTGTTTCAAAGATGGTTAGACTCATTTCCACTTGTTCCTACATTGTTTACCATGGTCGGGAAGTTATGGGCTGATCTGATGAATCAGTTTGGCTCAACTGGATGGCACCTCTTACAATTGATAGTCTTATGAATTCCAATATCAAGGGGGTTAAGGTAAGAACATAAGCTAAGGCACTATGGCAATATGCTACTTTTGGAGGTCTTTGGTATGTTTGGCTCGTAAGGAACTGTAGGATTTTCCATGATCAAGTTATGTCGTTCTATAAGCTAAGTGAGAGGGTTACTTTCGTGGTATCCCTTTGGCCAAAAGCATATTAGCACTTCCTGAATCTAAGTATCTTAGAGCTCTAAGATACTTTTCATTTTGCATGCCCTTTTTATTTATATGTAGCTACTTTCATGAATTATGTGACTAATATATATGCATGAATAGAGAACCATATGAATATCAAGAAAACATCTTTCTCTCATCTGGTTTTACTATCAGTTTCAACACTTTTTTCTTGTTTATTACTACAAATCCCTATTTACCTAGGATTGGTTAAGTGCCATAACCGTTTTTTCATTATGTAGCCAATAAATTGGACTGGGAAAAAATCTTTTTACCTCTCGTTGATGCTATGTTGTGAATTTATGCTTTTTTTAACACAATGATAGTGATTGATGGCAATGTAACAGTTTATCTAACTATGTATCTCTATGTTAATCTTTTTTTCCAGTATTGGTTCATTTCATTGGATGGATCGGGCTTCATCATCATTGCCATTGGGGGCAAATAATAGGTATTAATATGTTCCTTTTCCTAAAACTTAAGCAGCAATTTGATTACTAAACATTTTCCCGTTCAAATGGAAAACTTTTTGACTTACTAAAACTTAATTCAAGTGGAAAGATCTTGTATTGTATATTTCATCTTTCAAGTGCACAGTATATATACAGAGTTTTGTCCTAAATAAAAAGGAAAATAGCAATCCTAGAATTAAGAGAAATATGAAAAATAAGGAAAGAATAAGTCACATATCCATAAAATGGTGATTCAGTATCAAATCATCATTTAATACTCATTTGCTCTTCATTATGGTTATGGAATTCCTAAATAGAATGATAATAAGAGCCAGGGGATGTAATTTATGTAGAGGTTTCAAAGTTGGAATGGAGGATCAGACTGAGGAGATTATACATCTGTTCTTCACTAATGATGCTATGCTTTTCTATTAATAAGAGAGAAGAGCTTTGCTAATATAAGTGTGTTTTGATGGGTTTTCAAGCAATATCAGGGCTCAGTATTAATCATGCTAAATTATAAATGATGAGAATGAGGCTTGCAGGAGACTCGGAAGACTTGGTGAAGGCTTTAAGTTATAGACTGGTTTGTTTGCCGATCAAATACTTGAGATTACCTCTCGGTACTAATT